ATTGTTTCTCCTTTGTTGCTGAAGTGTTAAGCCTGATGGATATCGATACTAAGTATTCTGTTTAGTTTTGACTCAATGACAGACACCTCATAAATCTTAAAGTTAATTTCTTTACAAGTGCATCGTTCATAAGTTTTGAATACTGGCCAAGAACAATAAAAATGTTCCTTAGTAATGACACAATATATGCATCACCTGCGCTTTCTGCCTTGTAATGCTCAGAGGAATCATTGTCTTATGTTGCTTTGACAAATGACAACAGCTCACCCCTCCGGTTATTAAAATTCTCGTTCATCTCTCATGTTTACCGTCATATGGCCACAGGCCTAACTACAATCTAAGTAGTTCAATTAAACCATACTTCTCAGTACTTTTCTTCTTTTATTTTTTGACACCTTGTTTCTTTTCCTTCGACTGTAGGCTTTCAAAAACCATCTTGGTTTTCAGAAAAGGATCTGCAGTCTAAAAGAGTTAAAGTTGAGACGTTTTGTGCAGCACTGCATTAACAGATTATAGTTAATGTAAGTTTTTTTTTGTTATTCTCCTGTCCAATCTGCTGTAGATATAATTACTCAAATTTCAGAACTTTTGAATCACAGAAAGTGTGGCGGGTAATTACTGTTTGGAATCTAAATATCTTACAAAGTTCACAATGGATGACAATTTGCATGTTGCTTTTCTTGTGTTGCTCATTATGCACTGTTGAGAGATTAATTAAATCACATGGGATTGACTGTAAGCATAATGTCGTATTAGTAATACAATAAATAAATGACTGGCAGAAGTAGACAATCATGGAAAAAATAATTAAAACAATTGAAACAGCCACTTCCTGAAAAACTGTTGCTTGGTAAATATTGTATAATAAAATGTTTCTATAGTGCCTTGCAAAAATAACCACTTCAGCATTTCCTTTTTGAGAATTTTTTTTATTTTTTATTTATTTTTTTAATGTGAAAGATCAAATCAAACTAGCTAATGATTGCCATAATTCTACATGTTGAATACATTTTGCTTCCAAATCTGAAAATATAGCATAGCAACACCTCCACAATGTTGCTCTATAGTGGTTGTGTGTTAAGGCTTATGTGCAGTGCTATTTAAAAATTTTTTTTTGCTTTCCCAGAAAGTTCAGTTTTATTGTCATCGGACCAGAATGTGTTCTTCCTTAATGCCCAACTCTTTTTTTCTTGCTTCTTGACTTTTTTAAGTTTTGTATATTGTTTTGTGAAATAGCCCAGCTTTTTCCACAACTTTATCCCAGAATTGCTTGGCGTTTTTCTTGCTCTTTGTCTTTGTGATACGTTTCGAACAATAACATTCTTAGGCAAAGAAATCTCTGAGGCCGGGACTTTTGAGAAAACCGTGAAGTTAGTCTGGAAATTTGAAGAAGAGAGCCTTCCAACCTGATTTAACATTCAAATTACTGAATTAACATTAACAGCCGTCTCGTTAGGGTTGGCACTTCTCTCTTTGCGGTGGAGGATGGTAGGCAGTTTCTGGTAAGCTTTTTAACATGGAACTCTACATGTTACGGGCAAACATTAGCTATTAGGTAAAATTTAAAGCTTTCACAGAATCCAGCAATTGTTTCTTAATAACAGAGAGTTCAGAATCTCCATATAAAGCAAATAGCTTAGGACAAGGGGCTGATTTTCACCTGGCTAGTTTTCCTGTTTCTCAACCATTTCCACAGTTCCAGCACACCGGCAACATTGAGTTTAAACAACGCTACGTGTTAAACAATGGAAGTGTGTACATGAGCTTAACAGTGGCAACAACTTCCTTCTGGTACTGATTGGTTGCTTCACCAGGAGCAGGGTACTACTTCAGATGGGAGAAGGACCACAGGAAGGAGGCAGAGGAAATGTTTTAAAACTTATAATCTGTCTCATATTCTACTGTCAGCACATAATGACAGCTCAGTCAAATATGTTTAAAAATAAATTTTAATGAAAGTAACTGCAACTTTAACTGAACAACTGTTTTTATACTGAGATCAGATAGACACAGGTGATCTCAGTCTTTTTTGCTGACTTCCAGAGGAAACTGGTTGCACTGCATTTCATTTTGATGTACTGTAGTAAAGGAGGTTGAATACAAATTATCACTATGGTATGTTATTATCCTTTTTCTATACAGTTATGAACTATTTTATGTTGGTCCTCCATGCAAAATCCAATTAAAATGTGCTGAATCATTGGTTGATGATAATGTATAGAGAAATGGGAAAAAACATATTTAATTTATCAACAGATTCCCTACTCACCTATATTCTCCCTTGTTTGTAATTAGCATCAGATAAGAAAGGTTAGTAAGGCGGATGTTTCTTTTATTGTCAGTGAATTCTGCAAGGATTATTCTTAACCTAACCTTTGAGCTCTTAACGTAACATTTATCTTTTTTTGTTTTACACTTTGTGCTGCTTTCGCATTGACTTGACCTTCCCAAACATAAACTGTGTTAACATGTAACAACAGTCAATTTGAGGCAAAGATGAATTGAGAGCATTGTCACACCTAAACAAATTAAAATAATTAAAATGGAATCATTCATTTATCTTTATTTTGGAAAATTATTGAAAAATACATCACTTTTTTCAGATGTCCTTATAATATGAAATAATTCAAGATGACTTTTTTTTTCTTTTTTATGCCAAAGACAGAAAATTGGTAGAAAATTACTGACACAACCAGGTATTACAGAGAGTACCGAAGAAGAGATACATGTCTGCAGTGGCTAACTCCAATGAAACATCTGGTTATTAGTTCAACCGCCTGCTGTTTTTCCAGCCATCAGCACAGATACACATTTCTTTCAGGGCACACAAGTTCACACAGAGGCTTTAGGCTTAATTTCAGCAAAACAGATGTGGACACAATCAACTCAGATTCAAAGACCTTTTGAACACGCCTTTGAAGCTGGGTACTTCATGAGCTTATAGTGATGAAGATCGTTATCTGCATCAAAAAAGCCTTGGTGTTTCTACCTGGCGGGGTTTTCCTCCTTTCATTATACCCTTGCAATATTCTCATTCTTTATGTAAACACAAACACAGCATTCTTAGTGCTACTCCAGAGAAGTGGTGTCTTTCAACTGAAGCTAGAGGTTGGATCATAGTTTTTTCCCCTTATTCCATTTAGGGAACCATTATTTAACACAATCTGATTAATACCATTTGCTTTGTCGGGCTGCTGGCTCTTCTGGTTGTGAGCACATTGTTTATTAAAACATTTTGAAAAAAATAATGAATAGATTATATGAGATGACTGATAACGCATTTTATATCTTATGGACATAGAAGTCAGAAGATATTAGCTGTCTGAAAGTTGGGGAATGCAGGGTCTGAGGCAGTTTCATATTTTGAAGAGAGTTTCTGATGAAAACCATGAAGCCAGTTTATATCTTGCCTGCAGTGGACTTTTTTCTCTCTGTGTCATTCTTTAGGAAAAATCCAAAATGGTGAATTTAAATAATAGCCAGTCCAAGAAGGGACCAAGACCAAGACAAACTTCTGTCATATTAACTCCAGTTAAAAAATTGTCAAAGCAGTTCATATAAGCTCAATTTTAGTTGTTTTAAAATCATCAATACATTTGGAGCAGGAGATTATTTATGACTAAGGTAATGAATATTTACAGAAGAGGATTTTAGAGGCAGTGCTCCACCAAGGCTTTTCCTGTGTGTACTGAGAACAGAGCAAAGTTATCAACTAAACACTTCAATTCAGTATAAAGTAATTTTTTGATGTTAAAATTTTGTAAAAAGCAAACAGACAATAGTGATTAAAGTGTATGCAAAATTTCTACATTTTTATTCTTTGTACAACTCTATCAGTTTCTCTGAACAAAATCTTTTGGTTTCATTCTTAATGTGGGTTTCACTCTGAAAGATAATTGGTTTTGCACTGCTTCTGCCTCCATTCACTGTGTAAATAATTATCATCTCCTTTGTAAATCAATAATAAACTTGCACATAAACCACTTTAAGTCTGTTTTGCTCTTGGTACCTTATTGAGCCAAGAGAACTAACTACTACAGGTAAGCTATACATCACTTATATTCATTGACAGAAGCTCACTTCAAAAATTCTGCACCAGCCCTTTAAACAAGAGTCAAGACTTTAAACATCCATATCACTGGCTGATGCATTGTACTGTCTGATGTACTAACATAAGTTATGTGTGAATCTGTTGTTAATGCATCACGTGTATTGCCAAACAGCAAAAGACAAAATCATCCCATTTGGCCCACACTGCCAGAAGTAATGCTAGTTTTAAATCAAAACTTGGAGTAACAAATAATTTGCATAAGCTATTTAAGTATTGATCACTGATTCGGATTTACTTCAAACAGCTGATGCAAATTCCAAACACATTATTACTAGCATCACTTTTCTCAGTGTCGTTGCATTGTTCTCATTGTGTCTTTGTTCCTCTGTGGGAAACAAAGAGGACATGCACTGTAATGTATACAGCTCAGAATACATTTGTATACGGTTATATTTTGGGCTTTGGTCAACCAAAACGAATCGAATGAAAATGTGAATTTACTGAGGAAACCGTGGATCAATAGCATGCTATGTCCATGACCCCCTTCCTATGTGGCTTTCTGATGGCTTACACATTTTTACTTTCATTTATCTTTGTTTTTGAAGGGGGGTGGGTTTGTAGCTGGTTGAATAAGTTGCTAGACTCTTCTAAACCAGAGTGAAATTACTTGCATGTTTTCTATATGTCTTCGCTGTGCTTTCAAGTTCAATTAATATTTCCAACTCACCCTTAAAAATTTGTTGCATTGTTCTATGCCATAGAGAGAACAAAACAAGATTTTTAAAAGAAAAAAAACAAACAAACAAAAAAAACTTGTGTGGTCTTTGTTTCTAGCCATGTATTGCAGTTTGCTTCAAATATCCTGAAAACAGAATGTAATAAGCTTTTGTTCATTAAGAAGATCATGTTTAAGCCTAGCTTTCATATGAACCTCTATTTTGTCCCATAGAATATGGAATGATCGGAGAGCATACAGTAAAAAGTCAGCGGCCACGATCAGTTCATGACACAAAGGCCCTGAAGGAGCAAGCTGAATCTGCTAAATTTATGGCACAAACTGGTAATGAAATAGTTATGTTTCTTTACTTTATTTTGTTAACTAAACTTAATTTATTTCATCATGCATGCTCTCTTGTACTGCACTTTTCAAGTGGAAATGTTTTGCATTTTTATTTTTTCCTTCCCATTTTCAAACGCCACATATAAAATTAAGGACAATAAATTTCCCATCTCTTCATGAGTATTTACTTTGAATTTAGAGTCTAATTTTTTTTGTGATTTTTTCTTTTATTGCCATATAGTGAGGTGACAAGTGGCTTATTCACACAGACTTTTTGAAGAACATTAATTAAACAGCAGTTTGAAAGTAAGGAAGTGATGTGGTTAATCATTTCCTCCTAGACACAATAAATTAAATGTCATTTGAAAAAAAAAGACCCTTGAGCAAAAATTAAACACTTTTTAAAAGTGAACTGATAGATGCTGCCCTTAGAGAATCACTGAAGCTTTGTGGCTTTATCAAATGTAGCATCAAATTCATTGTTAAAGCCAGAAGGGATCTAAATTCATTTAATGCATCTTATGACATGTCACCCTGTATTTTTATAACTTCAATTAAAAAGAAAATTAGGCTGACAGAAATTAAACCAACAATATTTAGTTTTCAGATTTAAGTTCTTTTCTGTTTTAGTTAGAAAAATCATTTTTTATTTTTTTTTTCTGACATGGGTGGGTTTATATCTAACTGTTATTGAGAGTTTTATTTTCCTTATTTTTATTTTGGGAAATGTTTTTCTATTTGTCATGGGTTGATCCATTTATATTTCTGTCATTGTTGACAACCGTCTCTCCTTTCATGACCGTTTTGATTTGTAAAACACGATACATCCAACACATACATGCCTGTACTAATACACACTCATTAACATTCCTCCTCTCCATTCGCCGCAGGTGTGTCTGTTCCCCTGTTGAGTCACATTGCTGGGCTTTTCTGTTTCTCATTCTCACCCGATTTACTCTCCCTATACTGCCTCATTGAACAAATTGATCCACCTTTCAGTCTATTTTATGATCTCCAAAAATTAAAGGTAGGATTAAGATCCTATTTGGCTGAATCTGTGTCCCGTGAAACAAGTTAAAAGCATACCGTGTCTTTTTTTTCTTTTTTTTGTAATTCCGATCCAGTCTGATGACTCACAATGACATAAATGTATTCAGAGCTGCAACAAAAAGAAAATGTTCATCTCTGTGTTAAATTGTTTCTCTCAAACATTAAGCCTCAAAGAAAATTAATGCTTTACTTGGGGGTTTGACATAACCAGACATCAATTATTTGGTGACAACTCTGATGAATTTGTCTCCATGACTCTCACTAAATGATTCCTTCTGCATTTAGACTATCAGGAATTTGAAATTCATTTCATTGCTTCATTATATTTACATTATTTATATTTGCTTCATTCAAGCCCTTTTTTTAATCTCAAAGGGCCCCTTAGGGGTTCCTATATTACTTACATATCAAGAAATATATGTGGTAACTTTGTGGTTCAAAGAAACTTTTTGGCACCACAATTTGAACTTAATTTGAGAAAAGGTCTAAGCTAAACTTGAAGATGGTTGATGTCTGCATAAAAAAAATATATAAAAATTTAAAAAAATATACTATAAAGTTAGAATTTTCATTGATAACAAGGACATCATATAAAAATAAAAACAAGTTTCAAAACCAATAGCCTTTCATCAATGTTATCAAACATAGATGGTTCACCGCAGTGCAAGGGAATCCTCCTCTAAAACCCTTTTTCCTGAACTAACACCATTAAATTCCATTTTCTATTATTTTTTTGCAGATGTTGTCTTTCTTGCATGTCACCACACTCTTGTAATTTTTTTTGTTTGTTTTGCTTTCAGTTTTACCAAAATGCATGTATTTCTTTAAGAACTTAAGTAAAAAGTCAGATGTAACCCTGATGTCTACTGTAATACCTTCTCTGTGATCTTTGCATAAATACATATTTTTAGTTTCTGGTAGAAGTTTGATTAATTTACACATCTCTGCGACACTGCAAACATAATTAGTGCAACTACTCTGTAATCACAGTTGCAAAAACACTTATGTGCTGCATGCAAATTAAATATGAAGTCAAATGATTTAGGCTCAAGTATTCATCAAAGATCACATAAAGGTGGCACAGACTGTATAATAGCATTTCTGTAAATCTTTAGAGTCCCCTTTCTAACCCCAACGTGACTCATGTTGGCCCCTTCCAACTTTACTCAACCCAGCCCAACTTGTCCCACCCACGCTCCGTAAGCCGTGCGCAAGACCATATTGCTGCATTTAACTAGTGTCACCCTTCTCCCACACAGGTGAATCAGGTGCAGAGGAGTGGTCCCAGTGGAGCTCATGCTCTGTAACATGTGGTCAAGGGTCGCACGTGCGAACAAGAACATGTGTCTCACCATACGGAACACACTGCAGCGGCCCTTTAAGAGAATCAAGGGTTTGCAATAACACTGCCCCTTGTCCAGGTAGTGTTAGCCGCAGATTCTTGACTATTAATGTTTTGCTTCTTTGTTGTTGACATGGGAGGAATTTTCTTGTTCTGTTCTAACAAAACTTTGAATGTGTCTATATTTAAGAATGTGCTGTTATTATTTAGAGCTATTATAATTAAGCTAATCTTTCCTTTTCCCAATTATTTTTGGAATTGTTCTTTTTTTTTTCCATCGCCACTTTTTTTTAGTTTTCCCATTCCATATAACTGTAAAGCAATACATCAGCATAAAAAAGAAATGGTTTCATGACATGTGGTCCTGCATGGAGCTCGGGGAGTCATAGATACTGATGTCGTCACCGTCATTTCCTTGAAGGTCAACTGTGCATTTTAAAATAGCTTGGCAGAGTTTCTCCAAACAAGCTGGAAGGCATTTCATCATAAACTTATAATGGCATGGCAAATGAGTCACTGGTAGTTAGGTATCAGAATCAGATGCTTTTCTGACTGGTGATTGCAGCATAATGCTTGTTAATATTCATCTAAAAGGAATGCGAAACCCCCTGCCACCATTCTCCATTTTTGGAATTATTTACACAGATAAGTAGGTAGATTTTCGTAATTAAATTCTGCTCTCATGGTTAGTTTGACGAAGCTGATAAATGCGGTGCTTCTGAGACTACATTGCAAACACCAAAGTAATTGAACTGATTAGAAAACACAGCAAGCTGCATCTTCTGATAGCTTCTAAGATTTTAGATAAACCATACTTGTTTTACCAGATGGGACATGCGTAAGTAAGAACTCGGTGGCTTTCGAGCAGGTAATAACCTTTTGTTGAATTTGAATTTAGAGAAACGGACCCCAACCTTGTCCAAAACTGAAATAATGTAAGACTTACTGAACAAAAGCTTAGTGTGCCACAACTTTTTCAAAATTTTGTTTGCTAGTATGTAATTTCTGTCATTTTAACTTTTTAACAAGTTTGTTTCCTGTTGGACAAACAGAAATTTTTTTTTCACGCATTATAAAATCAGAACCTAATTTTTTAAAGCTATCTTCCAAAATCATTTATTATTTAGTACAGTTGTAGTAAACCTTGCTATACCACTGTACAAGGTCAGTCCAAACAACATATTGATAGAATTAAAACCTTGTAGGAATGACAGATTAATTGTCTTTCTTTAAACTACCTTTATAGATAGAAATATACTCGTATGCTGCATAAATATTTCCAAGTAACAGTTGCAGTCTAAGACAAACCCAAGACTTGTTGTCACAATCAGTGAAAACAGCAAACAGTACTGGTGAGCACTGCAGGGTGAAATCAAACATGCTGTTAGAAAACCAAGGCTTCCACAAAAGTTGTGAGACTGTTCTCAAAACAAAGCATCTGCCAAAACAGATTTCTGCTTCATGAAATATCTCTTTTGATTCTTTAGTCCCCGTTATAACTGAACTGACAGTGTTCACCTTTCTGCCTTTGAATTACATTCACTTTATGTTGCAGAAGGAAAACAGCTCGGGAATTCTGAAAAAAAAAAAGCATCCCCAAAGGACATGTGCAATATAAGCAAACAGCACAAATAATAATGTTAATATGTTTTATTGGCGCACATATTTAGCCATGTTGACAAATTTGACATTCTTGCTTGATTCTCATTAAACGATATCACCAATTTACAGCATTTTTCTTTTACTACCAAAGTTATGCAAGTTCCTATCAAATTTGATCTATTATGATGTCTTTTATGAAGCACAAGCCTAAACTTCTGATGGTTTGATAAATGAGCAAAAATAATCTGGTTTCATTAAGACATTAAAACAAAAAGTGAAGAAAAAATGTAAAAATGTATCACATTGTATAGAAAAATATATTTGCAACTTGTATAAGTATTTTTTGCAAAAAAAACCTACATCACTTATTAAAATAATAATAATAACTATTGCTATATAAACAATAGCTATAGCAATTTTATTTGTAATAGTTATTTGAGTCTTGTTTCCTCTTGACACATAATAATAATAGGACAGCATAAACATGTTTCCTCAACAGTCAAATGAAAATGAAAGTAAGCTCATTTGTTAAATCAGAACTGGCTTGTGATAGTTTGAAGATTAAGGTAAAAATGTTTTATCTAGAGTAAATTAAAAGTGGATGTCGGCTAATGCTTAAAGCATACGTTTACAGGGAAGGGTAACCTCAACCGTTAACACAATTAAGAGCAGTTTCATTTACTGGTATTTCCAAAATAATTGTTTATTGAACAAAATCGTATTTTTTTTTCTGACACTGCACTCTAAAAAATCATACCAGTGGAACAAAAAGTGGATATTATGGAGTTAGTAATCTGAGTAGTCTGTTTATTGTACTGACAGATGTGCTAACATTACATTTTTGACAATATTATCTCAAAAAGGGGCGGGTTGTGGTTCTTTAGTGCCAAACTCAACTGAACTAAACTATATCTTTAAAATATTGTTTCAAACAAAGAACTGGCTTTTCTATTGGAAATGCTTTTATTATATGTGTCATTTGTAACTAAGTGTTTCTATGACATACAATTAAACATTATGTTTGGTTGATATTCAAAGTTTAATTGAGCCACCAGCATCATACTTAATGCTTACGCAAACGTATAAATCAAAAACCTTTCTCTTTATGTTCTTGATCTAAGCTCGATGTGCATCAAGAAATTTAAAGCATGCACTGCAGCAGTTATTGGAGAAAAAAATAATAATAAACATGAAGCTAGATAGAGCCTTGAAGAAAAAATTGAAATCTTTGCATTCTGGCTGCAGCTAGTCCAAGATAATAAGGTTGAATCTCAATGAGACCTTTTGAAGTACGATTGAATTCAAGATACTCTAGTTCAATATAGCTAAATTACATAATTTTTTTTTGCAAATGTTTTGCCTCTGATCTTAATCTGGTTTAAAAATAATTCTTATTGTAGCGTACTGTTATTGGTCTTGGCTGTAATAATGGCTGTTGTTCAGAAAAAAAAGACAAAAGGACTCAATCCTGTTTCATCAGCAAGCCGTGTTGACTGGCTGCTTTGAACCCTAAATTTTCAAAGTAAATGCTTCAACCACCAGGGGACTCTTAGCTAAGAGCATCAAAGCAGCACCTAGAGGCAGGAACAGATGATGACTTACCTTCCGACTATGAACCTGATCCCGAGATTTGTGCTTCATGGATAGTGACCCTTCAGAGGAAGAATCATCCACTCCCTGTGGACAAAGATGTCAGATTTTAAGTTCTTAAGCTCTATTTGCAGTGAAGAGAGGCAAAATGGCCAACAGAGATTCTGGATTGACATCAATTTTTCATAAATTATACCCTCCATTTGCTTTTTTTTCTTCAGGAAAATGTTGTTTGGACAGCTGGGTAAATCAATTCTTACCATTCTACAAGATTGTGTAGGTCAATAGAGATCATTATTTTTTTTAATTAGATAGTTTTTATTAATATCATGCATCTGTAAAAGTGATTTTTCTGTGTGTTTTTCAATTGTATCAGTGAATGCATGTATTGGTTCAACTAAAAACTCAACCGTAAGCATACCGTACTAAGCCAGTTTTATTATAGCAAGCACCAGGTGAAATGGGAGAGTTGCTTCTTCTGCAAGCCTTTCAGATTTCCATATTTTACTCTCCAAAATAAAACTTTTAGACAATGACAAATATTCTCTGCAGCTCAGTAAAAATTCACCATCTGTCAGTTAAATGCCGCTGAGCCTAGAGGCAAACCTAGACGCCATAATGATGTTATCTTTAAGTGGCTATTGTTGTTTGCTTTTGTACAAATTGAAAAACAAATGTATTTTAAAAAGTATATCAGCAAAAAGACTAAATATATTGGATGTATATACATACTGCATATTTTATTGTCTGTTTTCAAAGATAAGTTTATTATTATTTTGAGCTGTGTATCTTAATAACACAATGAGCTGGACTGCTAAGAAATACCCTGGGAATTAGAGTAAGCCACATCATGTTTTGAAATAAACCGTGTTTTCATCCAAATATTGAAATAAATAGGTTTGCCTTTTTAATTTTTGAAGCTGTTATTTTTGACCTACTACTTGATGAGTTTAAGCAATCTGTCCTTAGAGTCTAAAAAAGATGAAAATTCCAAATTTCCAAATAATTCCATTTTGATGAACCATTGCTCCTGCACAATAAAGTATGTTTCTTTTTCTTTAGTTCACTAGCTATTTAGGTCTAGAAACAAGTTACAGGTTGTGACTTGTGTGTGTCTCCCTTCATTTATATTTTGGTGTATAGACAGATTCCTGCAACCATTGTCAGGTCACATTACACCACAGGCTGGTTGCTATTACATTCCCTTCCAACCGCCAAGCCTCAAGCTGGAGGAAATGGGCTAAGTTCTGTATAGAACCATCTATGTGAGATTTACTTCCTTTTTCTAATCAATATTTTCAGGTTGTTTGGTGAAATCGGTTGTGAAGAACTATTTCTTGTGGTTTTGCAAATAATAAATACCCAAAAGAGCAGAGAAAGTGGATATCTCTGGTGGAGACTTTGCAAATCTCTGCACTGTGTGTTGCGTGTATCACTAACATGTTGCCAAATACTGTGATTGATTTTATTTCCTTTCTGGCTCAGTGACGTTTGAGTGGTTTGTTTATGCTGTAACAACGAAGGAGACATTGATTAGGCCTGACGCCCTTTCTGTGCCCGCAGTACACGGTGTATGGGAGGAATGGTCACCGTGGAGCCTGTGCTCATTTACATGTGGCCGGGGTCACCGCACTAGGACTAGGATGTGTGCTCCTCCCCAGCATGGAGGCAGGGCCTGTGATGGACCTGAGACCCAGACTAAACTTTGCAACATAGCCCTGTGCCCAGGTATCATCTGTCTGCTCTCTAAATATATTACTATCTTACAGTTGCAACAATATTTTCTAAAGGTTTGGATATAAGAAGATTTCAAACTTTTAAATCCTTAAGACAAAATTTTTTTTAAAAGATCTGTTAATCTGAATTACACAGCTTCAGCTGTGGTGTCTTTAATTTATGCAATACTGTCAAGGTAAGTCAACAAGAAAGATTGGATAGAGGATTTGTGCTGCGTTTGAGCCTTCTTGCACAATAATGCGGTTTAGGAAACCCTGTTGAGATTGAAGACAGTAATACTAACATCAAAATCACTTACTTGCAATTGCCTGGGAATGGTAAGCAGATTAGTGGTGATGAGTTTTTACACACAGCGAATTTTAGCTGTGCTCTGGAAGAAGAGTTTATGGAAAACCCTTAAGTTCTTGCTCTTTTCCTGGAAGCAGCTTGCGAGAAACTATAAATCTTCATAATATGCATTTTGATGTCAGGGATTCTTTATCAACCTCTTTTTTATAATGTTTAAAATAATTTAGCTTTTGATAGTTTTTTATTCAGGCCAGTTTATGAAAAAAAGCAACAGTGCCTTGCAAAAATATTTAAACAATTTGAACTTTTTCACATTTCATTATGTTACTCCAACAAATTTCAATGGACCATCTGCAAATGCCACAGACCATTTACAAGACAAGTGTAAAAGAAAGTGCTCTGTATAGATGCTTTTCTGTAGCTGGTACAGGAATGACTACAGTTGATAGTAAGATGAATTGACCTTAATGTGGAGCAATACTGCAATAAATTTGCTGGAGCCACCAAAACCATGAAACCTGACCTTACAGAACAACAATCAGTGCTACAATGCATTTGTTTAGATCAAACCATACAAATCTGTTGGAGTGTCTGGCCCCGTCACAAATTAAAAATGTTGCTCACAGACACTTCCTACTGACCATTTTGTTTTACAAAAAAGGATGAGAAAACAAATCCAACCTCTATTTATACAAAGTCAATAGAGACACGCTCAAAGCTTTACATGTACAACTATGGTGAAATGATTGCTAAATGTATTTTCCCACCACATTTATTAGATTTTTATTTGGAAAAAAATAAAAATATAATTTTTCTTGTGAATGTGAATAAAATCTCAAAGGAAATGTTTTATTTATTTATTATTTGCATTTTTTGCAAGGCACTGCAGCACAGAAGCCCAGCTGAACAATTTCCTTTAAAAAAGAGACAAGAGTTCATGTAACAGTTTGCTCGCTGCTTGATATCTGTTTTATTGGCTTTCAATCTGAGAAAGGATACAAAAATCTGAATATCTCCCCCTGTTTCTGTCTGCCCTCTTTTCCCCCTCGCTTGGGACATGCTTGTTGGGTTGTGGTTGGTGCCTCAGTGGACGGACAGTGGCAGGAGTGGAGCTCTTGGAGCGATTGCTCGGTGACCTGTGCCAATGGCACTCAGCAGAGGACCAGGCAGTGCTCAGCAGCCGCCCATGGGGGATCTGAGTGTCGCGGTCACTGGGCAGAAAGCAGAGAGTGCCATAATCCTGACTGCACAGGTAAAAATCCTGAGCCTCTTAATTCTTTATCCACTTTTATGTCTAAATTGGAAATGATGACAAACAGAGGCTTATATGCATGTCTCTTTTATTTTAATGCACATTATTACAATTGTTAAATACTGGTGTCATTACCAATGGGTTTGGATAGACTTTCAACTTCCTGTTACAGCTTGTGCACTCTTTCCTTTGCCCAATAGCAAGAATCAAAGCTGTGTTGTAAGAATCAAGACTTATGTTTGATACCTTGCTTTATCAAATGGATTTTAAAAAATCTGCTTAGATAGACTGTATGCATTTCACATAATTCTGCTTTAGCTGCCCAAAACTGCCTGTCAACATTGTGAATGTATTAGACGTTCAGAGACGACAGCTTAATAGTCTTGATCAGGCTTTGAATTGTCTGATCATGTGAAGGCTCTAAGCATTCTGTAATCTCCTGATGCAATTTTCACTGCAGCAGTGTAAAACGGCAAGGTTTCAGTGATGTTTCACTGGAATGCTTTTGTGAGTGTTTCAATTTTATCAACGAGGAGTTCATTTCTTTATTTCAGACCTCCCGCCCGCCTAAAATGTGCAATCAGCCCCCTGACCTTGTTCTCTTTTCGATTCATAAGAGATTAAAGCTCCAGTATTCGTAGTTTCCATTTTATGTTTAAATAGTGCTGCCTGCAAATGAATCAATGCATTGCACCATTTACTAATCTATTAAGTTGTGTCTGCTTAGCAGTTACCACCTGTTTCCAAGCTGTAAGTCAAGTATTATTCAGAAAATGAATTATTACTTTGAAAAGTACACATATTGACCATGAGAGATCCAAGGCGAAAATTGTAGAAGCAAGACTCACTGGACTGAAAAGGAATAGAAAACTCCCAAATATAAACATAATTCAGGCCTATGCTGGAATGAAATGTATTGTTTTGAACTGCTGCCACATTGAGCTCTTTGTAGCACATGAGCATGCATCTGTTTGAGGAATCTATCGCTCCCGTGTGGATCAATCCATGAGTAAGTAGCAAGATCTGATCAATGTATTCAGAGAGTTTTGGCCAACAGGTCGTAAAGGTTTCTGCTGTTTGTCTCGTCTGGAAGTCGTTCTGACAGAGGATAGATGTAGGATGTAAAATGTGTTTATATGTGTAAAGCAAAGGATAAGTGGAGGTTAAAATGAGAGTGGAGCGTGTTTCCTGCTCAGAGGGTACTGTGGCTTTCTGTGCATGTTACTGAATACATTGCTGAAGGGAGGGAGTTTCTGTTGTTCAACAGTGTTCATAACAAGGACAGAAAACATACTGCTTCATCTGAGAATTCATTGATGTCTGTTTTATTTTTTTGTGATTTTGTCATCTTGCAACCACAAATATAGTAACGTGTGGCTTCGATAGAATAAACCAACACAAAGTAGTGCATAAATGTTGAATGGAAGGAAAAAGATATCCTTTCGTTCTAAGTTTGTCCTGTGCCATTCTTTGTTAGTTTTCAAGAGATGGATTGAACAATACTCCAACAGATGTTAAAATCTCTGATCTAATTTCTTTTCTTTTTTTTATATAGTTCTATTTCAGATATGTGTGCTGCACCCCCTGGTCTTCATAAAATTGTTTGTTCTCTAAAGTTCTCTAAGAAAAATCAGAGCCCTGTAAATAACAGCTGCATATCTACTGATTCGAAGTTACTTACAGATGGGCTGTATTTAGTATTCAGAGTGTGACTGGAGATAATTAATAGTGCTGGGTTGTAAAGAAGGATGAATGCAAATGCAGACCACATGTTTCAGACTTTTGTTTGTAGAATTTTATGAACACTGCATAGAATTTTCTTTCACTTTATGCTCGACTATGTGTTGGTCTATCTATTCTCCCTGAATACTTTGAATTTCAGTGGCGTAGCATGGGAAAATGTAAAAAAAGATTCAGGTTTGTAATTACATTTGCAAAGGACTCATTGCAAATCTCATTGCAGCCTTTTAGCCGCTTCTTTAACCAGTAAACATGAGATTTTGTCTTCTTTTGTCCAATGTTGCCAAACATTCCATCTAACAACTTTATTAAAAGAACAAACATATCAAACATATATCAAAATGACATTCAAATTAAAAGCTTTGAGGCCACCACATAAAACACAAAGACGGAGTGTATCTTTGGCTTTGCTTTCTCTCTCTTCTTCTTCCCTGAAAGTATCAGTTTCTCACCAGTATTGATTCTGTTTTAGCTAATGGCCAGTGGAATCCCTGGGGTCCGTGGAGCGGCTGCTCTAAGTCCTGTGATGGAGGAGGGCAAAGGCGTGTCAGAGTGTGTCAGGGGGTGGCGGTGACCGGGCAGCAGTGTGATGGGAACGGAGAAGAAGTTCGAAAGTGTAGTGACCAACGCTGCCCAGGTGAGTCAGAGGATAATAAGCCTCGAGTCTGAGGAGCCACAGTTAAGGAAAGAGGGATGTGGGTTGATAATTATCTGTGCAGAATAAGTGACGTGTCATGTTATACAAGATAAGATCACGCAGAATCAGAAGGAGACGGAGATAAGATGACGTGGATGACAGAGTATGAATATGTACGCTTTCATGCATTAAGGGCAGACTGAAAACAGAATAATCATCAGGTTGCATTGTGTGTCTTTTTGAAGTGGAGTCGAAGCAAAAAGTATCTTAATGCGTCCATTCTGTGAAATACACAAAGCAATTTGAAAAAATAAAATAAAATAACATCAAAACCCCTTTTAACTTTGTAGCCCGCACACTCACAAAAAAACACAATTTAAGAGGCAACCGTTTTATGATAATCCCTAAATTACATGCTGATATTCACTGACACTGTTGCAGCTTTGATCTCTTACATTTCCATACATTCTAGTCTGAAGTATGAAGAAATTGTTGCATCATGTTGGAAATACTAAAAAAAGCTCTTTGGATCATTGTAGCATCACTTGTATCATTTTACTCTCCAGCACCGTATGAGATTTGTCCAGAGGACTATGCAATGTCGATGGTGTGGAGACGGACCCCTTCGGGAGAGCTTGCTTTCAACCGATGCCCACCCAATGCTACAGGTAAGAAATGAGAAAAGCAATTTAACAAACACTAAAATAGTACAATCACATCTACAGATGTTCAGTGTTTGAAATACTCCAAAGGTTATTCTATTATTTCACAGTGAATATGCATGTAAATTAGTTAGTGGGTCAACACATTTTCAGCTAATTTGGAGGAGAGTTTTACAATTTGATGGTTGTAGTTTAATTTTTTTAAACTTCCTCCAGTTTTTGTGCTCTTCTTAAAGAAAGTATTCCTCCCAAGTTTAATGTAGTGAACGCCTCTGCCAAATTAGCAATATGTTTCTATGGTTATATACCAGAATGCGTTTCTTCATCTGAGAACACAGCACATATTCATTCAATCCATTTCCATATTCTCTGGGGGTTACTCCAAGCTGGCCCTGTTAGACCACAGCCTGTTCACTGAATGGGAAAATGGTTAACTTTGATCCCAAAGGCATTGTTAAAGGTTGAAGAAAGCCACACTGAGATGCCTTATCAAACATGAAGCAAAGGAAATGGATGTGTAGACTGAGAGAAGAGAACAGGCGATGAATGTTTTGAATTTGGGGGGTGGAAGAAGATAAGAAAAAGGGTAAGAACACAGAAAAGTAAAAAAAGATAATGAGAATGACTGGAGCCTCTGATATATCTGCTGTGATACCTTTGATTTTGCTGAAGATCAAACTGCTAACAAACATGCAACAAAATGATGAGAGGGGGGTTGAATGCTGAGGTTTGATGCGTTTTTGGCACAGTGAGCTATTACTTTGGTGTTCCCATCTGATATTCATGTCATAGGAAAGAAATGGGACTCTGGCAAACTGGTTGCAAACTCTCTCTTATTCACAGATGGCTCACCTGGGGCAAAGTTAAGCAGAGCAAGATTTACTAGAATGACATTAACTTTCAGGCTTGACATTAGTTTTATGGTCAATAACTGCTTGACACTGTGCTTGCAGTAGCTTTGGGTGTGTCCTGTATATGTGTGTGTGTGTGTGTGTTTCTTTTTACTTATTTTGGACTTGTTAAGGGAAACATTAACCCTGAATTTGTGGAAAGGTTATATGACCAAATTCAGCCAAAATCTAGCACTTGAATTTAAAAAAAAATTTTTGGTCAGAAGATTTTTTGTTTTTATTGAGAGCACTTTAATGAATCCATCCATCCATCCATCCATCCATCCATCCATCCATCCATCCATCCATCCATCCATCCATCCATCCATCCATCCATCCATCCATCCATCCATCCATCCATCCATCCATCCATCCATCCATCCATCCATCCATCCATCCATCCATCCATCCATCCATCCATCCATCCATCAATCAAAACTTCCTACCTTCCTGAAATTTTGCATTTCTTTTTTTCTCATGGGCTGAAAAAGACCGAGAACCCTGGAGATTTGAGTCTAAAGAAATACAAAATTTGGAGCTGAGAGGTTCAGATCTATATTCTTTGTAATAATCAATGGTGAAAGACTTTTTTGCACATTGCACCAAAACATAAATTTACTCCTGAAGTTATCATACTTCTTTGCTGGAGAGCTACTTTATCTCTGAGCAGTATAATGATGAAGTACAAAACAGGAGATGGCAGACATATTTCATATTTAAGCACAGTGCCTCTGCTTGTCAAAGCTTGCACAGACCACAGAAAAAAAAGATCATGATCAACTACAACTGAGGTAAGGTCAGATTTATTTGTAAAGCTGTTAATCTTACTTTCAATGTCAAAAGGTTTTTTTTTCTTTCACAGGGGTCCGCATTAAGAAACTATTAAAGAAAAAACGCAACCTTTGACTTTTTCCAGTGACTTCTCAGACAATGACTAAAAAAGGTTGAACTACTGAGCTGAAAATAAACAACAGTGAAACATGAATATAGTACAGACATGTTTAGAGGCTTTCCCACAACCTCACTCCCTGTCGGTGGGATCATCAAGGTCATCACAAGAGGAGAGCAGGGCCATCAGCACTGGCTTGATGATCATAGATGACAAGTGGTGTCAGAGGCGGGAAGTAAAGACAAAACACGAGGATTCACACATGCGTCACTCAGATTTATTTTATATTTTATTTAATGAATATTCCTAAGAAGCACAGTATAAAGGATACATTTACTGCATATGTCATCTTGTGTTAGATAAACCTATGTTGAAAGTAATTAACAAAGAAAAGTGAAACAAGCAGTAAAAGTAAAAGTTTAATGTTCATGTTGTCCACATGTTATAAAAAATACATCTTCCTCACTGCTCTGTTAATCAATTCTGACTGAGTCTTTTGTCTTGAGGACATGCTGTTTGTACAAAAGTTCCTCTCTAATAAGGACCCATGGTCAGTATACTGCTAAGGAAGACAGTAACAGGTCAGTGTCGTAATGTGTCGTTCAGCCTTGAATTTGATCAAACACATCTCCACTGACCTATATTTCATATGCAGGGTACTGTGCGTTCTTCACAGATGATGCAAGGCCGGAAAGACTTATTAGTAAGGACTCAATGTCAAGGTTTTGATTTTCCACCGCTGACACTGTATGATCCCACTATGAAAATGGATCAAAGCGAAATGAGAGACATTTTTTGAAAAACTGAAAAATAAATGTCACTTCTCCTCTCAGTAATGCATACACCAGATGTTCAGACTTATCACTAATATATAAATATTTTCTCTGTAAAGTTTTTTATGCACAGAAGCGATCTCTGGATCAGTCTTTCCTATTAAAAATTTATTTAGCCATTGTTGAATTTCTGATAAATTTTACACATTCCACAACTTAGTCATTAATGTAAATGCAAGACTCAAATAGTAACATCTGTCATTAAAAAATTGATCTTCCAAAAAAAGAGAACACATTTTTCTGTTAATTTAAACTCTTTTAAATGATATAGACCATGGCTGAGATTCAATTTTGTTTCTTTACTCTGTGTCTTTTTCCCAATTCTCACAGAGAATGGTGTGTTGCCTCTCTTAGTTAACTGTGACATTTTGAAATGTCACAGTTAGACCACTAAATGAATGCCTAATTTCCAGGTATCAGGCTGTAATATGATATACCTCTGGTGACTTCATTGAGTCGTGGAGCCTCAGAGTATTCTTTTGATGGCTGAAATGTGACATACAGCACCCAGGAGAAGCCAGTTTAGAGGGAGACAGATGCTTAGCGCAGTATAAAGCAGAAGGCATGCGATGCTATCCTGTGGGCTGGCTCATGGTGCTGCATGGGTGCTCCCAGGGTGTAACAGTGTTTTGTGCATGTTTAAGAGTTCAGGCAAACCTCCAAGTTGTGGCTGTGGAGCAGCATGGGTGTTGGAAATCTGGTTTGAATATTTTTCTGTGTGTGTGTGTGTGTGGAGGAAGAGGAAATAGTGAAGAGCTTGTCTGAAGTGCAGATACCCAGGGAAATATTTTATACCTCTGGAGTTTTCCTTTAGGATACGAAGTGCCTCTATTGAAGCAGTAAGGTGACATGTGAAGAGCACTCCTAGTGATATTGGACCCTTATGTCGGCTGTACGCTGTGATGTGGGTGGATATTGGGTCATTCTTCTTTTACCATACCTCTGTTTAAAAGCTAGATGGACAAAACTGGCTGGAGTTAGGGAGTCCAGAATTGAATTTTAGGTGGGGACACATCTACCACAGCAGGTAATTTAATTAGATTTACGGATAAGTACAACTGAGTCTCATCAGCTTTACAATAAAAACTGATCCTTTGAAGTCGAATCATTTTATCAAACAGCATAGTAAAAAATATTATAAAGTACTCAACCGTGTGGTACCTTAAAGCTACCTCTACTAAAGCTACCTCTACTGTTTGGGGAAGACTAAGTGTTAACATTAACCAAGTAAGAAACAATAATTACAATATTTGCTTGTTTCAACTTGTTCATAAAGCAGAGGTTATTGGTATGTAGATGTTTTCTGGGAATGTTTATTTATATTGCTTGACGTTATTGTCAACATTTATTTTCTCTACAGTACATATTGATAATTTGGTATAACCTGTTTTTTATTTAGTATTTTTGAGCTGCTCCATGTTGTGACTCAAAGCTAAAATCTGTATCAAAATGGTCTGGAAAATACATATAAAAAGCAATCGAATTGTGTGGTTTGTAATAGCAAAACAACATTATTCTTAAATGCCATTGTTTTCTTTCCAGCTTACATGTTTTCCAACTTATTATAACAGTACAATTTATTTTCCACACAAACCCAGATAACAAAAATCAAGGTATTTTGCTTTTGAACTACATGCATATAAAATGAACCTGGAAAAAGTTATAATTCTCTCACAAAACAGTTATTTCTCTCTGCTCTTTTTATCTCTCCCGTTTCCATTCCATCACTCCCGATTGCCTTCCTGCCTTCCTTTGCTTTCCCCCTAATCCCATATACCCTTACCTCTCTTTGTGTTCTCTGTGCTTACTCATCTCTGCTCTTATCCCTCCTTCTCTGATTCCACTCTCTGAATCTGTCGCCGTCCCCCCTCCACTCTTGCAGGCACCACTAGTCGACGCTGCTCTTTGGATCACCGCGGCATGGCCTTTTGGGAGAAGCCCAGCTACGCTCGATGCATAACAAATGAATTCAGATACTTGCAGCAAACAGTAGGTGCAAAGTCAGCTTCCTTTCACAGCCTCTGTGTCCAATGGATCATAAATTACCTCCCCAGTGTTTTCCCGCCCCCTTGATCTCATCACACTGTAGCCAAAGATTAACCACTTTCAATAATGAAAGTGGTTAATCTGTAAATTAAAATACAGATTTGGTCATATTATCTTTTTAATGTCTAGGTATCAGACTGTTTGATTTGTTGTTTTATGGCAGGGGTGCCCAAGTCCAGTCCTCGAGAGCTACCATCACAAATAGTCCAACACACCTTGATGAAGTGAATGGCTCATTAGCAGGCTTCTGCAGGGCTGAGTTACTGCTAGTACGAGAAGTCAGCCTTTTTACTCAGCACATAGAAGCAGGGATGAATCTCAAAGTTGCAGGGTGGTAAGGACTGGACCTGGGCACACCTGGTTAATGGCATGTTCTTCTCTGCGTCTCTGTTCTTATTCTTAACACCCTAAAATAGGCTTATGACACGTATTGGCTTAAGGTAATTTGTTATAACATTTTATTTGTATTTTAAACTTGAAAACAAGCATGTAAGCAGGAAAAAAAATGGAGAAACATCTATACATTTTTAATTTATGTGACCTCTCTCTTTTCCACTTTTCTCTACACCCCAAAATCATTTGTATTTTTGAAAGCCAATGTAGTATATTTTGAAATAAGTTTGAACGTTTCCTCTGCATAGTCTGAATATCATTATCTTGAATAGATATCTCTGCTCTGCTCCCCCTCACTGTTAGAATACAATAATCTACAAAGGCTGAGATAGCACATACAGTCCTGCACCTGTGAGCATGTATTTATGGACATAATTCCTGTGCAATGATGTGAAATGTAATTTCTCCATGCAGTTTCAGCCTAAATATGTGTCTTCTGCTCCAGTTACCTCCTTTATTCATTTTGGCTCATTTCAAAACATCCTTGAGGCACAAAGCATTTCAGTCCTGCTTAGATATAAGTGTCAAATGAAGGGCCTTGACGAGTCGACTCTTTTCTTCCCAATTTTTTGCACTCCATTTACTCCAAATGTGTAGCTCTATGTGTGCCTTACAAACTGGCAAAAGGACACTGATGCCCCAAGTTCTTTCTTCTCCTGTTCTTGGAGGTTCAGAGCCATCTTGCGAAGGGCCAGAGGACTCTAGCGGGGGACGGCATGTCCAAGGTTACCAAGAACCTGCTGAACTACACCCAGCCGAGGAACTTCTATGCCGGTGACCTGCTCTCATCAGTGGAGATCCTTCGCAATGTGACAGAGACCTTCAAGAGGGCGAGCTACGAGCCTTCCTCAGATGACGTTCAAGTAAGTCCTCCAGCAACTTAAGTTTGACATAAAAAAGTACAGAATCTCTTTAGCCAAAATACATCAGATAGACAATAAAGGATTTTTTTTTTCGCTCAACCCTGCATTATATCAGATAAAACCATTTCTAATATGTCTGAAATATCACAAAGGCTCACATATACCCCTTGCGGCTTTATCATATCAAGGAATCTTGATACATCCTAATCTGTTTCATCTCATCATGCTGGGGTTAACTGCAGTCTGATCCTCTTTTTGTCAATAGGATGATGGAGATTATAGCTAAAGCTCCACCCCATCTCCAATAAGACACTTTATGCCCTGAAATTTGTGCCATTTTCAAAGACGTGATTCTCAGGCCTCCTTCTGGCTGCATATGTGTTACAGTTTGTGGTTTGGTGACTGTATTATGCCTGGGGATATTTATGCTTACAACAAAGTTGAATAGCAAAGAGATACATTTTGAATATTGTAGGCATCTACATGTGTGTAAATGAGGAAATGAATTCCTTCCTATAATTAATTTTATAAAGTTCGTATCCCACTTTTCTACATTAGCAAATGTATTTTAATACCATCTCTTACAAAGATATGTGGAGGAGAATGAAAACAGAAGGAGCAATGTATTTGCTTAAAAGTAGAAGTAATTCATGGTTGAATTATTTAGAAGTTCAAAGTGAGTTTCATATCACACAGTGCAACATCTGCTGACAAATGAGCCTTTATAATGTATTAAATAAGAATTGGTACCTATGCAATCTGCAGAAGGAATTAGAATAGAATAAATTGAAATATATAAAAAGTTTTGCCTCCTTGCAAAGCATTAAAGCCACTTTAACTTTCACAGAACTTGTTACATTGCATTAACAAAATGCAATGAGATTTTATTTTGATTTTATGTGGTAGGCCAGCTTAAAGTGATAATAAGTAATTCAGATCTAATACTTGACTTTAAAAATTATTTAGAAATAAAAATGGAAAATGTGTCATTACATTGTATTGAGCTCTACTGAGCCAGTTCAATTACAGTTCAGTTTTTTGTCTTTTTGTTTTATTTTGGGACGGGGTTTTCTCCACTGACTCAACACATCTGGAAAATGATTCCTTATTCTTTCCTATTCTTTCTCAGAAGATAGCTCAAGGTCAGACAGACTAGATGCAAAGCTTCTGTGAACATAAATTTGTCACAAATAAAGTCTTGTCACAGATTCTCAACCTGATTTTAGTCAGTGCCATTCCGACCAATAATAGTATCTGCTCTAAACTATTCTGTCATTGCTCTGCTTGTATTCTCACATCTCTTGTCCTGCTGGGAGGTGAATCCAGTCTCAGGTCTTTTGTTGTATATAACATATTTCCTTCGAGAATTACTCTGTATCCATCTTGGCATCAACTCTCACTAGCTTTTTTGACTTTACCAAACAATTCCCACAATATGATGCAGCCACCGATGTTTCATGGTGGAATGATGTGTTCAGAGTAACTTGATAGGTTGTGTCTCACTGAGTGTTTTGCACGTAGGCCAAAAGGTTATTACAATGAGTCTCACCTTACCAGAATCCCTTGTTCCACATTTGTCTCCTTCATTTCTTATCACTGACAAATTGACTTTCTTTGGTTTTCCTCTAACACTGGCATTCTTCTTGCCACTCTTGTATTAAGACCAAATTTTGAAAAGTGCACAACTAATTTGTCTAGTTTCAAAATGATTCTCCTAATCATGGATCAGTGCCATCCACATATATCATTGGTGTCTTAGCTAGTACTGCTCTGCAGACTGAGCTTGTGATATTAGATGAATGGCATGGCTTTCTAACTTTACGTCTATGCTATACTCTTTCCCTTTTCTGATGATGCATTGATAAATGCTTTGTGATGTTCAAAGCTGTTACGAAGTTCTCTAATTTTCATGGTTGGTGGTTTTCTTAAACCCAAATGCAGACGTGGAGATGTCAAATTATTATTATTATTATTATTATTATTATTATTATATTATTATTATTATTATTATTATTATTATTATTATTGTTGTTGTTGTTGTTGTTGTTATTATTATGCAGTGGCCAACATATTTTACGTTTATTGAATATTCTCACAACACATCTGTTAAGTGTTTGTGCATAGTTGTCCTGGGTTTCAAAATTAACTTGTTATGATCTGTAAGCAACTAAATACTTAACACTACATGTGACCAATAAAACCAAGATAGATCAAGGCGCTACAGCTTTACACCTGACTTATTGTGTTCCATAGTCCTTATAATAGAAACCTTTATTTGATACTGACATTTGATTACACACAGATAGACTCTATTTACAAAGTGATTTCTCAAAGCAACTAGTTCCATAGTACTCTATTAAGGGTATCACATAAAAGGGCTTTACACATTTTTTATACCTTAATTTGTGATCTAAATGTCAAGTTAAAATGCATCTCTTTCTATCAGACAAGAACCCTGATAAAATAGATTGATTCTTGGGGTTATAATTTGAAAAAGTTTTTTTTTTTTTTTCAAACATTAAATTGAAAAAAAAATAGAAATTATTTAGTTGCTTCTCCAAAAGCTGTGATATTTAAACTAAAACATACTATTTTCCTGGTTCTCTGTTTTATCAACACTCTCTCTCAGCTGTTATAAATGTGGTGCTTGTTATGTTCTCTGGAAATGAAACCCAAATGTCTTGGCCATGGATGTGGAACTTGGCCCCATTCAACCAATTCTCCCCATGCCCCGGAAAAGCTATGGGATGAGGAGAACATCCTATCTCTGGTTATTAGGAGAGCTCTGTAGTGTGTATATGTGTGGGCAGGCGGGAGAGCAGTCAGCCAGCCCAACCCATCCATGTGCCTGTGCGCTAATGCAGTGTTAAAGTGGGCACATTACCACCAGAGGGAGCATAAGCATTCAAGTAGAAAACAAGATAGCCTGTGTCAAGAGAGGGAGAGAGAAAGAGCCACTCCCTCCGGCATATTGTAGACCAGACAAAATAACAAGGCGAAAGATCAGACAGGGGTCCTATTACTACTGTAGGCATGCACCCCAAGCTGGCCCTGCTTTTCACTGTTGAAGAAGACAATCCGCACAGCTGCTCAAACATTCACTTTCATCTCTCCTTTTTTTCTTATTGCAGCTTGTGCTTGTCTCCTGTAGCAATAAGTGTTCTCTGCAAGCTGCAGGAGATTGGAAGGTGTATTTTTTTCCCTTCTGGAGCTGAAACACAAATTTCATCTTTTTTGCATTTGTTTACCGACATGGTTCCAGTTGCACATTTTCCAGTGTTATTGAGCCCTGCAGGGATCATCATTATCCCCTTATAGAAATCCATGTTTTTTTTTTTATACACATTTGCAAATGTCTGTATATTATGTAGTCTAGTTCTTTTTGAGCTCATGGTGCTAATGTCATAATTTTTAAAAAGTAAGCCTGCTGCAGTGCCTGTAATACTTATACGTGGGTGAGTTATGTATTTTCCCCTTTCATCATTTTCCACAGAACTTTTTTCAAATCATCAGCAACCTCTTGGAGGAGGAAAATCAGGAGAAATGGGAAGATGCACAAAAGGTAAGCAAATGTGCAGTGCTCCTAAATAATTCAGATTCTTACATGAATACTTTGTCAGAAATATTGCTATTCACTCTATCTAAAATTCCATCTGAAAAAAATCTCAGGTAAGTAAAAGGCAAAATGGGATAAATAAAAGTCAGGTGTGTTTTGTGTAGATACTCCTCAAAGGAAGGTGAGGTCATTTAGCAGACTTGACATCTGGCCTCATTTACAAAACCAGTACCTCAGACTTCCACTTGATGGCAGCAGCACAGTCATAGAAACTGTCCAGCCATTAGCCCTGCAGGATTCATTCCTCCTGCACGCACATTGTTTTATCCAGCCCACACAGATCATTGTGTGATTAGAGTAGTGCTTAAGTTGAATTTTAACAAATGCACACTCAATTCAGACATTTTATAGCTTGAGGCAAAGCAGCCACATCTCCATTTCCTGCTTTTCTTGTGTGACATTGTCAACCCAACCCTGATAAAAGTAAATACGAATAAAAGAAGATACCCCAGGACTTCTGCTGGGAACCCTCCTTGACACTGACCCTCTTCTTGAGAGGTGGCATGTCTCGTTTTGAAAACCATCCCAGAGTCTAAGACATCTTCAACTCTGAAATCACACATGTCCAGACTCTGACAGAGACGCCATCTGCAATGACCACAGGTCTGCAAAGGGCATCTGCTCAGGTGTCACTTTCAGTGGTAAACTGACTGAAATAGGGTGTCACCTGCTCTGACACATCAAGACGAAGCTGTTCTCTTGAAATCAGCCAGATCTCCCCCGCTTCCCCTTGGCTGAAAGTTACCTTGCTTAGCTGAAATTGAAGCAATTTTGAGCAGTGCACAGAGAGCACTGCTCAAAATTGCCTTTACTGTCGATACAGGTAGTAATTAGGTGTTTACATACTGGAGCCTCCGTTTACCAGCCCCCCATCGAAATGTTGTCTGTTAGAAGAGCTCATAAACAAGTTTCATTAGTCAGAATGCGTCAGAGACGGGTACAGACAGACTAGAGAAAATGTAGACTGTGGAAATGTTTGCCACTGATTGAACACCGAGAATGTAGATGTGACAAGATAAATTATTTTTGTAGTGATTAATGTGCGTGTCTGGTTTCATCACCCCAGCGTTTGGACAGCAACGTTGCCTGATTTCAACAGACGACACTCACACTTCACAGCTAACTGTTCTTCTCACTTGTGGGTTTTGCTTGCATTTGTGAGCTCCGTCTCCACAGCACCCACACATGTGCAGCACACTGTGGAGGTATAAAACTCCTCTTACATGACACACCTCACTATGAGCTTTTACTGGCTGCAGGGCTGGCTCTGTGCAGAGATCACTATAAATTCACCTCTTGTCACTGTTACCATGGCAAGCAAAGGAAGAGCTCTGTCTACACAACCTCCACTGCAGCCATTTTCCCATGCTGCCTTCACATCCTACGGTTACCATGGAGATGAGCAGAGTGAACATGACTGCACTCTGCGTCAGAAGGGGCGATATGACGCTCCACCCCGTTATGGCTTTCACTTTGCTGTGTCAGAGGCTTTCGACTTAAGCATCTACGAGCAACTTAGCTCATGTGGAGACACATGTAAACACACAGGGCACAAGGTGTTACAAAGACATTTGTACCATGTCAGCTTAGACCAGTGTAAATTGCTAATTGCCACTCAAAGGTTTGTCTAATTTTGCTTTGATAGATGTGTGAGAACATCTATCAAGGTGTGTTCACACATGTATCTAAACCATGTACTAATATTTATATGATTTGAAATAATCCATGTCTAGCACTGATTTGTGCTAGACATGCATCACTGGTTTGTGTGTCTGAAACAAGTTCAGGCACAACACATTTGCATTTATGTAAATTTGGTTATTCATAAAATCCCAGATTCTTTCAGAACAGAGGTCCAAACTTTTAAGGCCCATCTATTAAAGTAACATCCCTCAAATTCTTCATTTGTACAGCACAGCTGACTGGACCAGTTGTGCTACAGGTCATGCCATGTCCCTGTCCATGTCCATGTTGCATGCTCTTGTTTAGTGCCAGGGCACATCGGGTGGCACATGGACAGAGGCAATTGCCCTTAACTTGGCTGGGGCTTTAAAAGAAGAAGCCAACCAGAAACTGTGCTGGCAAAGCTGCTGATTACAGCTCTGCTGCTGATGTCACATGAGTGGTTCAATCCCAGCTGCACCTCATGATTTTTAGTTTGTCTTTTCAGAAGTCTGTATATATATATCTTTGTTCCTTTTACTAATAGAAATGTTTGAGCAAGGAAGGATAGAAAAACACATTTGAGTTAACTCATCACACTGCTGTGGCTTTATTTCTAAGACCACAACATGAACACAATTATGTGCCATCATATCCTAGGAAAAAAAAAAAGAATCAGGTAGAAAATAGTGCATGTCCACAGGTCTGATTTATCAATAGTTGCAATTCACAGATGCTTGAAGACGCCACAGTCATTTGTTCTAACAGCTATTTGCAAGATAAAGCATAATATTAATGCCCAGACATCTTTGGTTCAGAAATGGGATAGGTTTTCTCTGATAGAAAATTCCAGCAAAATACTTTGCAAATTTTGCATAAGAATGCCCTTCAAATGTTTTGTAGCACTTTAAGGGCAATGCAACAAAACAAATGACTTATGACTTTGAAGACAATGAAAACACATCCCTCAAAACATTAGCACTGCTTTTTATGACATTTAGCTAATAGAAATAATTTTGCTACTTACTCCAAATTGGTCTAGAACAGTTAAAAAATGTCCCTGACAGTGAGGCAAAAGATTACTCTCTACTTTTACGCAGCATATCTAAATATTTGGTTTCAACTTATGTATAACTGTATAACAAACAGTCTTTGGGCTCATTTTAATCTGTAGTGTCTCTCAACAAACATTTACCAGTGTTACTTGTAAGAAAATGAAAGCAGTTTTTTTAACATCCTATTGTCCTTCTTATCTTGTTCAGATCTACCCTGCGGCAGTGGAACTCATGCAGGTCATAGAGGAGTTCATCCATATTGTTGGACTGGGCATGAAGGATTTCCACAATGCCTATCTGATGACCGGAAACTTGGGTAAGAATCAACTCCCTTTCCCCCTCCCAGACCCACTGCTTCTGAGTTCATTTCACCACTTATCTCATCTCGATGTGGACACATAATCCCAGCGCTCCACTGTCTCTCTGAGTCAATTTCCCCACCATCATTAAATTAGGATAAATGGTGGATGGTAAAGTTGAAGGGAGTAAAATTACTGCAAATCAATAATCTTAATTAAAACTGATCCTGTGGTCTCAATGTGCTAAATTCCTATGACACCGGCAATTCCAGTTTCACAAGAATAAAGGAGAGAAGGAACTCACTAAAAGTACTTTCAATGCACATTTATTGTCTCAAATGTTTATTTCAAGAGTAACATAACATATTAATTGTGTATTTGAAGTTGAAATAATCGTGTCTGACATGACACTGCCATGCAGCTCTTTGAGTAAGGCTTGATTAGCACTTTGTACCCAGAGGCATGTTATTTTTCTGTAGCGCATCATCACAAAAACATTCTTTGTCGGTTCCTTGCAACATTCTTAAAAAACACACTTTGCAAATTACTGATGAAAGGCTATGAAATCGGAAGTGAAATTAGCAATGTTATTCTTTGCAGCTCTAATGGACTTTTCTGCTACACTGATTTTTGTCTTTTTTACGTTGCTTGTTGTTGGTCTCTGGAGTCTGACTACAGAGTTTATGTAATATTTTATTTCCGTGGAGTTCCTTTGTGTTCTTTTAATTTATGTTGCATACCAATTTGAAAGATCTAAAGTCCCTGTGGTCTCATTTAATTTCTTTTCTTACATTGAATGGTGTCTTGAATGGAATAAGACAACTGTGGTCTAGACTCATTCATGGACGTGAATGCATACATTTACTATGTGACTGTAGGAGGATGGATTATTGCTTGTATTCCTCACAATAGTTCATTATGTGAAAGGGAAGGTGTATGATTTCCATAACGATGAATACTTTGCTCCCTAAAACAGTATACCCCTGTCATTCAGTGAATGTGTCAAAATTCCACTATGAATTTGTTTGAGTTAAATTAACTGATAGATTTAAATCTGGAAATGAATCTCTAGCGCTCTTAATGCGAAGTGTTAGAAAGTTCTTATTATTTTTATGTAAGAATATCTCTGCACTTTTCTTTAAATGCATAGTTTTTTTTCTATTTGTGGTTGTGTCATTTTGCTAACAAATAACCGTCAACATATGACCTCGATGTTAAGCTGACTCTAAACCTATAGCTAAACTTTTTTCAAAAAGAGAAACTATCACAAAGAAGTGGAGGGGCTAAGAAAACTGTTTACGAAATAGTGTTTAGCTATATTATTGCCTTGTTTTGGTACAGTTTCATACTCAAATGCTGAAATTGTAAATTAGTCTCGTATTAAAAATATATTCCCACAGTTTCAAAGAAAACTCATTAATGCAAGGGGAAAATTCTAACTTTACTCATAAATATGTTTGCCCTGTATGGGTTTTGAACAGCAGAACTTCATCAAGTTTACATTTACATTACATATGACTTGTTTCACTCAATGAGAAACCTGAAAATAATATTAGGAGATGTGTTGATAAAGAATCTACGTTACATTCAAAATAAATTCAGAATACAGTATTCAAAGCTTAAAATAAGCTCAAGCATAACATTCATTCATGTTCTGTGGAAACAAACAGATTGCTTAGTGAACAATTTCAAAAATATTGCATCATCTAAATGTTGTAGTGAATTATTTGTTGTAAAATGTTTTTTTTTTTTTTTACAAAACTGAATAGATAAAAGAAACTGGATGATACTGAAAGTCTTTTTCATGTTTCAAACTCCTGTCAGTATCATGTGAACTTCCCAGACAAATATATGTGAATGTTAATAGTACATGAATATTATTTGTAGGCCCACACCTGGCAGGCTAGTGAAAAACAATATATTTTTCATTTGGGGTTAATGATGCAGCTGTAAGTTATTTTCAAAAGAAAAGTTTACATTATTAAGTGAAATTTCCCTAATCATTGGTTAGAAATTACTATTTTGTGTAAAGTGTAAAAAAATAAAAGTTTTTTACCAACTTTGTATGACATTTTAGCTAGAAAAGTACTCCATCTACCAAAAAGAGTCATGGTAATTCAAGCAACCTACATAGAGGTCATTGTATAACCTCTAAGTCATTGTATGACCAGTATATTAATTAATGTATACTGGGATTCATCATACACATTAGAAGACAAATTTAAAAATTTCATCTTACATCAGTATATTCTCACAGTGGCCATTTTGATTAGACCAATGGATGGTTTTGTGGATCCATTGGTGAGAGCTAAGTGGTAAGAGTAAGATATTGCTGTATCATTTTGTCACTTTTTTATGGCAGCCTCTTAACTCAAATAGTAGCTGCCACTTCTGTCCCATCTTCTGCCCTGCTACTTTTGGCTAAATAACTTTGACTGCAAAATACTTTTCATCCAGCAAATTTTTCTAAGACATTTAGAGTACACAATAAAGCACTGAACATATAAATACTATGACTTGCCTTATTAAGCTTCCAAACACAGTATGGCAGTTGCAAAATATTTAATTAACTTGTACAATTGTCTAAAAGAAATGTAAAATGCAGCATTCCAAGGCTATTGTTTTTTGTTTTTTTTTTTATTATGTACCCTGCGACTAACACCACAAGCTCAAATAAACACCCTCTTACCACCACTGCTCTCAACATCTGGCCTCCTGGTGCTCGTTGATTTCATGCTCTCTATAGGATCATCCCAAATACACAATTCTCCTCAATCATGGAGTTGTGCCAGGATATAAATTGTACTACCAGAACAACACAATGAACAATGGAGTTTTTACATCAATGGTAGGATTAGCCACAGCTTCCCCCTTGCTGAGCCGCCACCTGACTGGGGCCTGATATGATAGCAGGTAGAAAACAGTTCAGCTTTGTCCTCCTCCCTTGTAAATTTAAGGTCTTTTATTTGTTAATCTGGGTATTTTTTCTTGTCATTGCCTCAGCATACAAAGGTATTATTTTTTTGTCCAGTTGTGATGGGCAAGTTTTAAGTTTGATTTTAGACTTTCCACAGAAATAAAAAGTACAATGCTTGGCAGGTTTTTGCTTGTTTCTTTTTATGCTGTGTATAAAATGTGAAAGCGAAAAGACTGGAATGTTTTCACTTCTATTTTTATCTGGTTTAACTGCTCATGAAATAATCTTCAGACTCCTATATACCCTGGAGAACATCTGTAATCTATATTCATTTATTGGTTTCTGCAGTGGCCAGCATCCAGAGACTTCCAGCCGTGTCTGTGATGACTGACATCAACTTCCCCATGAAAGGTCGTAAAGGCATGGTTGACTGGGCCAGGAACTCGGAAGATAAAGTGGTCATCCCAAAGGGCCTCTTTGTTTCCCAGTCAGCAGGTATATCACTGAACACATCCAGTAATTTATGGAGCTGCATCACCTCCTGTCCAAATAATTTTATTCTACAAGACTCAAAGCCATACAGACTGTCTTGATGTGTAAGCCGGATTTTCCATCAAACTTTAAATAAACACTTACAGAAATGTAAAAAAAAAAGGAAAAAAAAAGAAATACCTTTATCAAAGATCCAAAAATACTAAGCAGAATTGTCATTTTTATGTAGCATTCCACATTTTTTGAAGTGTATTGAATATGTAACAAAAAAATATGTTAACTTACTTGTTCTTTTTCAGTCAACGAATTTGTTTCACTCCTTTTATGGCATCAATTCAAAAACTGCAGCTGCCACTTCATATCCCAATCCAAAACCAGACAAAATTGTCAACTAGTTTAATCAGTCTTATCTGTTATGAATCAAGCATAACAAAGGAAATTACTAATTAGGACTCTGAGTCATCTGCAATCACAGCTGCTTTAGTACAGAAAGCAGATTTTATACAAGCATTTGATTCATGTTTTACAAATTTTTAAATGCTATAGAAAATGTTTCTTCTTTTTCTTTTCAATCAAGCTGTTAGAACAGGTGTATCAAAATAAATCATGTTTTGAAATAAATACAAAAAGATTAAAAAAATATATCCTTAAATTCATAACCTGATTTCCCATTTTCTATTTCAGACATGGAAGGATCACCTGTGTTCATTTTGGGAACTGTTCTCTACAAAACTCTTGGACTCATGCTACCTTCACCAAAGTAAGGGGAGCTCACACACGCACACATCGTACTATTGTACTTTATGATACAGTTTATGTATGTGTATATATGTCTATCTATATGCAGTATCTATACTGTATATATACGAGGAAGAGAGACACTAAGCAAAGCTAAAGAAGAAAGTTAGAGGACTTTGTTAGCTCTAACTTAGGAAATAAAACACTGACTGTAATGGGGAGTATATTGTTAATTAGGAATGACACAATTGTCTTGAAGAACTGCCGGTTGGGCCATGTAACCATCAGCTGAGTCCTTCAAGACAACAATTCTTTGGCACTGATAAGGACAGAATGGTGATTCCAGGACATGTCAACATAGCTGTGCAATAGAGCAGCTGCAGCAGACCCTCAGTGTCTACGTGAAAACCCATAATCGGCCACTTCAGATTGCCCTTTCCATACTGACATGGGAATAAGCTTATCAAGAAGGGACTGTTTCCCTCCCTTGAATAGTTTCCATTTCTCACTTTTGGAAGAATGCAAAGCTTTTACAAAACAAGTAACTTTTGTAAAAATGTCAGAAGTTTAAGTGTATTCTGGATGGAGCAATTTTGTTCATTGATGTCCAATTAGAATTACATCTTGAAAATAGAGTTGTTTCACAGGCAAAAGGCAGATACAAAAAATACTGAAAAAAAGAGTAGCTCCATTGGTCTTTTAGCTCAACTTTTCTTTCAGTATGCTGGTGTTATTATCAGTTAAAATGTCCAAGAAACCTTTTGTTCTTTCTGAAAACAATAAAAGTAAAGCAAAGTTTTTAAAGCGGGATTTTTTTAAAACACAGATTATGGTTTGTTGTTTGTGATTCTTGCTGAGCTTTACATAATTGCTTTTATTGTTGACTACAGAAAGAAGATAACTTATATAGATTTACAAAAATGTGCAAACACACTTGCTTTGAAATACTGAATACCAATAAGCAATTTGGCAGAAAGAAGCAGTGGAAGGGATTTAGTAACAACATTTATGAATCTGTGTTTTTTTTACTCAGGAATATCACTGCTGTAAACTCCAAGGTTATTGCTGTGACTATAAGACCTGAGCCCAAGGCAACTGAGTCCCACCTGGAGATTGAGTTGGCTCATCTGGCAAATGTAAGAACCACAGTAATTTTGAACAATGTTAACTGTTATAATTTCATTGTCCATTTATAGGGTGGTGTGATGACACAAGTAATACTTAAAATTAATTTCAAAAGAAAGAATAAAATTGATGATTAATTTAGAATAAATAGCTGGAAAAAAAATGTCAGATCACCTGTCAAAGGCCTGATTTCTCAGAAGAATGTGGATATTTTCTCTGTCTCTCAGGAAGAGAGACAGAGAAGGAGAAAGACAGGTGGAAGGTTTATGTCAAATCTGTTTCATCCATCCCAAATCTGACTCAGATTTGCGTTTTGTACCATAGTGCTTTTAGTGCATCAAATTTCAGACATTTGGCTGATTTGATATGAAGTTGAACAATGCCCCCATCTTCACTATTGCAGTCTCTCTGTACAAGACAAACAGCTTGCTGCTACCATTAGTATAGTCCTCTTAGATTTGAAACCCTGTCCTTGATGGTTCCTAACTCATTCTGGACAGGTCTCCTCAGTCTCATTTCACAAAAACAAACAAACAAAAAACATGTTTCATGAAAAACCAAAAGTCCATATGGGTCACTGCAAGTCATAACTAAGCTTCATATCACCAGCAGGGACTTTTGTCTAGGAAAGACACAAGTCTTCCCATTTCCACTTCTTTGTGGACGTGGAAATGCTTCTCCGTGGAATGATTTAGGATCAGGGTGAGCCTTGGTGGTTCCTAATTTTTTTTTTCTACATTTTAACGAATCTCCTTTCGTATGAGTTGGACACTTTTAACTTAAATGGTTTATGCAGTTGGGTGCTCCAGGAAGACAATGGCTAACATTAATCTTGTGAAATGATCTCAACCTCATCCCTTTTGAAATTGTGTGATCCAAGCTACCAACTAATGATGAATAAAATAAATGCTTTTATTTTTGATAATAAGAGTGGTCAAATATGTATGTGTAATGTATTACATTTGACCATGTTTGGATAACAGAAAATCACCAATTAAATCAGACTTGTGCAACTATTTCTTGTTTTTCATTCAATTGATCCGTGTTAAAAAAGGAACCATTCAGACAAATCCATCAAGGCTTAAAATTAAACAGCTGCACATGTAAACTTTTCACCAGCACTGTAGCTTGAAATTGAATGATAAATCATAAGCATTTTTTTTTTTTTTTTTTTTGATATGTGACCACTAATTTTCACATTTCATATGGAGGCTGCCATGTTCTGCATGGTGTTATTTAAACAGATGTTTGGTATTTCTTTATTGAATCTTCTATAAAGATCACATTGTCTATCGCCTTTCTTTAGGAGAGACACACTGTCGGTCAAATGGCTTGATAATTAATTTGTGAGCACAGAGTGTCTGGAGCTGCATTCAGTTAATTACAAGGACAATTCCTTTTTATGGTCCAAATCTTTTTTATGCATCTTAGACATGAAGCACAAGTGAATCTGACCGCGTCATCAAATGTGTCTCACTGTGCGGTGCTCTGATAGTGCAAACCATGGCCGAATTTATGGTTTCTGTGATCCATTAACTACATTTTTAAAAGACTAACGCTGACAAACACACAAGTATGTGATAATGATGGTGTGATGATAAAAATGATTAGTTATTTTTTAGTTATTCTTTGTGATTTACTGAGATTTGTTACACCTTTCTTGCATTCTAGGGAACAATGAAGCCGTACTGTGCACTCTGGGACAGCAGCATAATGTAAGTGGGCATGCGATAATGTAATCCATATGAATGAACATATATTCAATACAATATGATGCACTGCAATAAATTAAACAGTTACACAGTTAAGCAAAAAAAATTATGTTTGTTGAGACGCCCACCGATTCATGTGGATTTAGCTGATGGAATTATTATTATTTCTTTTTTTTTTTCAATGTCCCTGGGTCAGTTTTGTTCAGGCACTACAGCTGCAGTGTTCCTCTACAGCAATTGCCACCATGATTTCTGAAACTCATGAGTCACATTTGAGTTATATGCTCATTTCTGAAAATTATAATCGTAGAGAAATCAGGTTTTGTTTTTAATGATTCCATTTTCTTAAGCAATAACGAACAACAACTGCAGATGTGGAAAGTGAACAAATTAGCAGCAGGTGTTGATATAGATATCTACTTGATTAAAAGAGTGCTAAAGCATCAGTCCAATCCAAATGTATTCAATATTTACACAACTATTTCCCAGTGAAATTTATCACACTTCAATGGGTTATATTGGGATGTTATATGACAAATCAACACTAAGCATGATATAATTTTGAGTGAAAGAAAAATGCAAATGTGCTTTTCGAATTGTTTACAAATAAAAGCCTAAAAAGTGTGCGGTGCATTTGGATAACCCAAAAATGAAATCCAGTGAAACCAATGGCTTTCAAAAGGCTGTGTGTGATATAATTTCAGCATAAATACTGCTGCTCTGTGAAGGCCTCAGGGGTTTCTTACAAAACATTGGTGAAAAACAGCCTCATGAAGACCAATTCACCCCTCAGACATGTCAAGGAGAAAGTTATTGAGAGCTTTAAAGCAGGCAGAGAGGCCCATGGTAATTTCAGTGAAGCTGTGGAGATACACGGGCCAGCTGGGCGAATCTGTCAACATGATAACTGTGGAGTCATCCACTTTTCTGTGGCAGGGACAAGCAGAGTTGATTTGGAAGATGGATGGAGGTAAATGCAGGTCGATAGAGAACAGAGAGCCACAAAAATAATGTTATGCAGAGGTGTCCAACGTCAGTACTCAAGGGCCAGGATCCAGCATATTGTTGTTTTCTCCTGGTTCAACACACCTGGATCAAAAGATGGCTCATTGGCAGAATCCTGCAGAACATTTACATGCTGAGGAAATAGTAACTACCACTATGAAAATAACTAAGACATAAAGGACACCGACTCTTGAGGAACGACTGATGGAATGGTTTAGATCATAGCATATTTAGGAGTTATAATGAGACACTCAAAGACCAGACCTGACTTCAATTAAGAAACTGCTCATATGTTTATAGATTTGCTCCTTGCAGTCTGACTGAGCTTGAGTTATTTTGAGAGGAAAATTGTTTTTTTGAGACGTGTCATAAAGACATGCCTAAGTTTCAGCAAAAGGTAGTTTTATAAAGTACTTACTCAGGATGACTGAAAGCAAATGCACTCCTCTCCTTTCAGATTACATTTTTGTAGATGATTCATTGTCCTTCCACTTATCAAATAGAATACATTAAAGTTTGTGGTTGAAATGTTTGAGGGACATGAATAATATGACAAGGTGCTACAAACCCTGAACGTCAAAACATTAAGCAGCGTGATTTGCCCATTTCTCTGCTCATAAATTCTGATCAGTAATTTATATTTCAATGAAAGTATTGTGTGCTACCAAACTTTGTGGTACTTTACCTGTACTTAGCATTGTGGGGATGTTTAAGTGGCTTATGGTTCTTCCTTTGCCACTTGATTGGTTTTGTTTCTCTTTTGCCAGTGTTCTCCTCATCCTATCTCTTCACGCTACACTAAAACTAGAAACAGAAAGTGTCTTTGTTCACACAGGGGATCAGTAGTAGGACACTAGAGAGCAAGTAAACTCTGGTGGGGGTTGGAGATAGAAATAAGAAGCTGGGTTGTATGAGTAGTTGGCCTCTCTAGGCAAAGAGAGATAAGGCATCCTCTAAAGGACAAACAGCAGAAGAGGCTGATTGAACTGTTGCTAGGAAACTGAGGGTAAATGTTTTTAAGTACAATGACAAACATAATGTAGGGCAGATGAGGGTGGTGGCTCATAGGAATGATGGGTAGGTGAAGAAGACTTGACCTAATAGCAGAGCAGAGCTTTGCTGTTAGGTATTATGTATTTAGAAGAGGTTTATCAGTTTATAGCGAAATAATATAACCCATTTTAAGGACATTGACCTGGTGCTCAGGTCCACACCTTGACATTTACCACCCAGCAACTTCAGAATGCCTCCTTGCTCCAACACACCTAAAATAATTACATTTCATTATCAACATGACACTCAACTCTATACAGACTTTTTAAAGAAGTTGTTTATTTGATTCAGATTTGTTGGCAAATGTATGCATTTTGAAGCATTGTAGCTCTTAAGGACTGGACTTGGGAATAGCAATACCATCACTCACTATTATGACCTGGAAAAATTGTCATCAAATTGGATGCGATACACAACTTAAGACCAAAGTTGTGTATCGGAAATGGCTTAAGGTTAATTATTTCAAAACATCACTGTGACACATTTTAAGGGAATTGCCAGTCTACTGAAATAAACAAAAACAAACTGTAAATTATATTTGTATCAAGTATCAAATAATTTTTCCAAAGATAGAATTTAGTAGAACAAACTGTTTCACCTTGTTTCTGCAAAATTGTAAGCACAATCATGTACAAAAATGGTTGGTAAACAGTTCATGATAGAAATATATCTTTCAACAACATTTGATTTCAGCCTGCTTTTCCTCTCTTACCGCCTTTGAGGACAACTGGTCTATTTTTGAACTGCAAAGGTACAACTAGGACAACTCTGCTCCATTCTCTTAATAATTTTCACAACCCATATGCTTTCAGATCAGCAATTTTTCTGATCTGCATTAAGTCATGTTAATCAGAGTGCTGCTGAATGACTCTGTGGGACTATAATCATCTTCATTTCAAACATTTGGCTCTGCCCATTACCCAATGGCAAGCACTCTCAAGACTCGATGATGGGACAATGCACCATCTGTCGAACACATCGATTTAAACCAAATTAGGGTGCTCTTTGGAACTATCGGTGCAGGAAAGTTGTGGGGAAAAAATTGAATAGTGGATCACTATGACAATGCCCAGTTTTATTTAAGGCTATGAGAACTTTTAAAATTGTTTTACTTAGATTAATTTTGAAACAACAAAGCTGCTATTTTCTTGACTAAAAAGAGGTTAAAAATGAATATATGTAAAAATAACATTTAAATTTAATAGAAAAAACAGTGTAAAAGTGAGTCACAAATGATATTTAATTGTAATTCATAAACAATAATATATTAGTATTCATAACAGAATTATTTTTACATTAATGCTGTTCATGGAGACAATAGGTGTTTTGTAAAAAAAAAAAAAGACCTAATGAAATTGTTTTTATGTATATTATCTTTGTAAATATTTTAAAATGTTATGGCACATGCTAAAATAATTGGATTTCTTTAATTAAACTCTGTATTGTGTTTTATTGTGATAGTGAGAAAGGCAAAACACATGTCATTCTGAGACATTCTCCCTCTTATTTTAATATACTCCTGAAGTCAGCATCTCTACAGCAAGAACAGTAAACACTTCAAATACACAACCTTTGATCACATTTTAAATGTCAATGTTTTCAGCTCTCAAGTGAATTTAAGAGTACAGGCAGCCCACCTTTGAGGAGATGAAAAACTAAATAAATTGAAACACAATTTATATCACTGTAGAAGAAATTGATCAGCTCCTTCTTTAACATTTTGCTTCTTTTAGTTTATAAAAACATAACATCTTCTAAGTGAGCGACTTATGCCTAAACTAGATTATATGCCTAAACTGGATTATATTTTATATTAGGGTTATCACACTTAATACTGCTGCTGTGGGGATTCATTAGTGTCTTAAAACACCAAGGAATAGTTTTGTTTTTAAATGTTAAATGTTTCTTTTCATTTGGTCTTCTGTAGCCGGATGACTGTAGCATCCTCTGAATGCCTGTAATCACCTCACTGTGTGATATTTTGATCTTTAGAAATCCTCTCTCGGATTATTCAGAAGAGTCTAATTTGAAATGTCAAACAGAATAGAATTACCATTTACCCCTGGGACAACTTTTTGTTGTTGTTAAATTAACTTCTTCCAATATGTTTTTTTTTTCTTTTTTCACACAACTGTAATACTTTTTTTGATACAGTAGCATGTGTTTCTTTTGAAGGAAAAGAAGATTTATGGCATTGATACATGTGAACATTTTCATTTTCATATAAATGAGACAATGAGATACTATCTTGTAAATATTACAAGACAGTAACTCATAGTTATGAGATACTATTTTATAATTATGACTTAGGTACCTCATAGTAATGTGATAGAATTGTATTCTTATAAAATAAAAATACAATATTGTATTTTTATAATATTTTAAAAACACAATATTGTACAATAATAATACAAGTATTGTATTTTTGTTCATAAAACTACAATAATAATTGTATATGAACACAGTAGTTCATAAGATACAATAATGAAAAGTCAAAATTGTAAGATAAAAGCAGTTTGTTTTTTTAGCAGCATGGCAGAAATTAGCTTCCATAATAAATACATAGTACATTTTTTAAGTTGAAAATGAGGACTTCAATCATTTTGCAAAACCAAGCAGAAACACAAAACCAGAACAAGGAGAAGAAGTACATGACAGTCTGGCTGGAAACAAAGAAAACATCAGGGTATTTACACACATAGGTAGCTAATGACTAACAGCAGGCAGGTGTTGATAATTAACTGAAGCCAGGTGAACAGAGAGCGCAGAATGAAAGAGGGGCCATCAACCTGGGAACACACTAATGATAACACAACAAGACAGAGGATGGAAATGAGTGACTAAAGCAGAAACCCAAGATGAGCCAAACAACACTTGAAACAAAAACCACAGTGTAGAAAGCTTTGTCATCATGCAAATAATAACCATAATAATAACATAAACAT